GGCTGGGTGCTGGCAGGCTTGCACCTGGCACGGGCACCGTAGCCAGCCCATGCCCCTTTAAGGACTCTGGGGCCGGGAGGGGGGCAGAAGAGTTTCCCTGGTGGTGCCCAGTGGCCACCAGGGAAAGCTGGGGAGGGCTAGCCTCCCACTAGTTCGAATGAAATGGCTACACAGCCCTTAATTCAAACTACTTAATTCGAACTAGGCGTTAGTCCTCGTGGAATGAGGTTTACCTAGTTCGAATTAAGTGCTCCGCTAGTTCGAATTAAGTTCGAACTAGCGGTTTGCTAGTGTAGCACCTATCAAAGTTAATTCAAACTAACGTCTGTTAGTTTGAATTAACTTTGTAGTGTAGACATACCCGTATAGACTCAGCGCTGGAACTAGGAAACAAAAGCAGAGTCTCCCAGGATCAACTTGGCTAACCCCTAAGAAAAGACATTTAGAGCTGATTGTATTTTTCCCTAATTAATAAATCCTTAGTTAGTTTAGGATTGGCTACAAGCATTGTCTTTGGTGAGCTCAAAGGTACAAATTGACCTGGGGTAAGTGACTGCTCTCTTGGGATTGGAAGCAATGGAAATATTTTCTGATATGTGGTGTGTACTTGACCATTTATCACCAAGCTCAGATTGCCCAGGTAGCTAAATAGACAGGAGTGCCTAAAAGGATTGTCTGTGACTGGAAAAACAATGAATAGTCTAGCAATGCCTTAAAGACTAAGAAAATATGTAGATGGTATTGCGAGCTTTTGAAGGCACAATCCACTCCTTTGATGAAGTAGATTATGCCCTTGAAACTCATGATACCATCTGCATGTTTTCTTGGTCTTTAAGGTGCTGCTAGTCTGTAACGGGAAAAACTTAAAAAAAAAAAGTCTAACTCAGGTACCCCTCTGAAGCTTGTGACTGTATGGTAAAACTGTTTTCATTCTTGAGGAGATCACGCTCATTATGGGACTGGTGAAATCTAATTATAGAACATACCACCTCATTGGGGTGT